TTTTCTGCGCTGCGGCGTGCGTGGCAGCGCGGAAGGGCGCCCAGCTTCTGCCATCCGCTGAGCTCGCCGTGCTACACGCTCATCCCGGGGGCAGGTGCAGCTAGCAGAATTTCACTCTCGCAGAAAATTCAGGAGGAAAAAAAAAGAAGGCATCTGCCTGGTGAGCTGAATTGCCATACTGTGAAATCAGATGAGCAGCAGCCCTCGCTTAGGACTGTTTATGGGGAGAGAAAGGAGCAGGACAAATTCCTCTGGCTCTACTATATCTTTTCCCTGTACCTAAATATTTTTCTTCTTCCCTGTGTTAGTATTATGAAAGTACTGGATACAGCAGAAGTTTAAATTGGAGCATTTTGGAACATCATTTCAAGGAATGGCAGGAACCAGCATCTGAAGTGATGTGCACAAGCAGTTGCACAAGCTGTAAAAAAAAAAAAGAAATTGAAAGAAAAGAATAGGAATGAAGATGGTGCTGGAAGGGGTTGGGGGGGGGGTCACTGGGGGGGGCAAAAATATATACTGCGATGTTTGGTCACAATCATGTTAAATTTATTTACTCCTATAGGTTGGCCCTGTGGAATAAGCTGCGAGTTTGATGAGCTGTATTTCATATTACAGCCACTAATTTTCATGTTGTATCTTAATGATGAAATGCATTGTTTAAACTCCTTTGGAATACTGAGTTCTTCAATTTTCAGTAATGCTGCTTTAAAAAAAAATTGTCCTTCTGCTTCTCAGCGATGCAACACTACCCTCTTTGTAACATAATTAATTCTCTATGATTCAGACATTTCTCTCCCCCCCCCCTTTTTGTTTTTTGCACAAGATGACAGTTGTTTTCAAATACATAACTGCTGTCTTCTCTGGGCAACACCTCATTTTCTTGCAATTTTAAGTGTTTGGATGCTTGCTCACATTGTGGTCCGTTCCTGTCAGGCAGATTGAAAGTCAAGCCTGATCTGTAAGCAGTGCTGCTCTGTTGACGTTTTCATCTTTCACAACACACTGCTCTGCCCTAAAAAGGATAATGAGACCTTGCAAGGTGACTTAGAGGAACGCTGCGTTTTTACTGCTAATGAAGTTGTAACTGGAGTGAATTAAGCCAAACTCCCAAAGTGTTATGCAGGCTAGTTCAAAATAAATAGATTAAGAGAAGTAGGACAGGGCTTGCCCTCTTGCACAGCTCCAGTGTCAAGTTCTGTGCGTTCTGTATCCCGTTTTCTGGTACTCAAACTGCTGCATCTATGGCTCAGGATTTAGAAATGAAGTTCATCAGAGACGTATGCTAAGCAGTACTTTGAGTAGAAATGTTTCCTGCTATAACCAAGCAGGCCAGGACTTTCCCTAACTTTGTGAGTAATCTTCAAAAATTGTCAGTTGTTCCCATAGCTCAACCATCCAGCTGGTACTGAGGCTTTGGTCCTGTAGAAGTAGCTGGCAGAATGCCTTGAATGAGCCTCTCCTCTCTCCCCACAAAATGGGATCTCTAACCCTTTCAGTAGGACAGTTCCTGGTGCCCCTGATGGCAGGAACCTCTGGCTGGGGCAGGCCACAGCGATCTCCCGCAGAGCCCAAACCTGCGCGCCCGTGGGCAAGGGAGCAGCGTGCGCCAGGCCTCACTTATGGTCGTAGCATCTAACTCATTCAGGCACTTTGAAAATCCCAGCTTAATATTTCATAACTGATTTTTTGGAAACGGTCTGTACGCTCATGTTTCCAACTAACTCCATTATGACTTGTGATACCTCTCTCAGCTGTATTTTGGCTGTGTAGTTTCTGTTTCAGCAAATTGTGTCATCGTACTTGTCACACGATAACTTGTTCCATAATGAGTTCCAGGTGATCTGACAGTGATGTGCCTCTAGAAGATCAAAGCTTATTTTCTCTTACATTTTTATGCTTGTTTGTCGTCTTATTTATTTGAAGAACATAGTGCTAACAGTATGTTTAAATGTTTCATTGATTACCCACAATTTTTAAATGAAAGAGGCCAGCTAGAAAAATTAAAATAAAGCCAGTGCATTTGTAGGGTATGAAGTACTAGATGTTAAAATAGTTCATGTTGTAGCAAAATCTTAAAGCTCTTAACGTCACGCCACCTGCAGTACACAAGTAAGGCAAATGACAGTGTAAAGGTCATATGAAGAGAGTTTGCATACTGTGACAACTTTCCCCACTGAAATTACTGAGCATAAAAAAGGGAGGGGGGGGCAGAAATTTCAACCAATATGTTTTTCCTTAGTGCAAAGGAACTTGAATAGAAGTTGTTATTTTAGGGTTTGGCTCATTAACAGGAGGAGAATGACTGTTGCAGTGATTCGTTACAAATACGCAGATTCATATCATTCTTTTAGGCTAATATTAGTAATTCTTGAAGATCTTTTTAGTTGTGATGTGTTGTAGATCGTAAGGAAAGGTGAGAGAATTGGTTGATTAGATGGAACAGGGAAGGGGGGTGTTGAAGAAAGTTTGCTGAGCCCAAGTGTGTGAACTGTGACCTCATGCATGGGATTTCTTTTTTTTCCTCTCTTCCAGTTTGAACAGGAGAACCAGAGACTTGTTGGTGAAATGAATAATCTGTTTGATGAAGTCAGGTACAACTTTCTTTCATTTGAAAGATTGCTGTTTCCTAAGCAGCACTCCTCGTTCTACGCATACACTGTTTGATGCAGGACACCTTAGTGCATAAATTTTAATGCTATGGTGGAGGGAGAGGGATATGGGAATGCCACGTTCTGAGTGAACTCTGGAGGTGAACGATATGCATTTATATGCTATGCTCTCCCAGAGTGTAAAAGCAGCTTCCTAGAGCACGTGCACGATCCACAATAGTATTGGTTAAATTTGAAATAAAGGCTTATATGCTGACTTAAGTTTTAAAAGCTTAAGTTTTTCCAGTCATAGCAAGTTGTCTATTCCATATGTAGAAAATAGTAGGAGAGGTACAATTAACGTCCTCCATGTAGATACTGGTCTCCATGACAGGATGGTGGTGCCCTTTGCTCTCTGCTTGCTATGCAGAGAAAACAAATATCTAGCTCAAACTAGAACCTTTTCAGATTATTAGCATTGGGCAAAATGAATTCCACATTTCAGAGTAACATATAAAAAAAGATATTTCAAAAGTAACTACTTATGGTCCACTGTGGTTTTCCTTTTCATATTATGCAAAAAATAAACGATTTTATTGACGTAAACGAAGCTGCCACAGAAAAGGCCGTCGTAAAGTTTGTGTGGGGTCCCCTTCCCGGAGCACCACTCGGGGCTGGTCGTCTTTCAACAGTGAATTTTCAAGAGCAGTAATCACACGTTATTGCTACATAATAAATTGCTAACAAAATAGCTATGCCTTTTGAATAGCCTGATTTATTGGGTTTCAGAATGTGAATCTGCAGTAGTAGAAAATGTTTGTACCAGTTTTTGAAGGAATGTTTCTGTTCTTTATCAAGACAAATTGAAGGAAAAGTGGTAGAAATCTCCAGATTACAAGAGATATTCACTGAAAAAGTCCTGCAACAGGTTAGTATACTTTAATATTACAGCAGCAAATATGGCTTGAAGATTTTTCTTTGGACTATTTTGGTCCTGATTGATTGCAGGCAAGATATAAACCTAAGATGAGTGAATCTCTGATGCAAGCATGAAGGGAAAAAGGGGATTGGGATTATTTTGTTGTTTTCCAAAAGCATAATCACAATGGTATTTACTACTTCTACTTATATTCTTATTAGTGTATGTTTCTAGTAGGAATGAAAAATGCTACCTGTGAGTCATAATGATCACTCTTTCTCAAAGTTAGTGTCCTGTTTTAACTTTATTGTTTAAATTCAGGTAGCATCTCTTCTGTAATCTGCGGCAGCTGCCCCAAAAGGGCTGGCAAAAATTAGACAGGTTTGATTCTAGGTAAGTGGGAGACTTGGTGGCCTCAGTTAAGGCTCATAAAAGCATGGATAAGTAAATTACAACTTAATTACCTCTATACCTTTGTGTCATTGAAGACTGCATAAATGAAACCCAGATTTTATTCTGTACTTGAGATCTGCTTGCCCCCTAAACTCATAGAGGTGATTCCCCCCCCCACCCCTTTTGTTTGTTTTGCTTAACAGGAAACTGACATTGACAATATCCATCAATTAGTTGTGGGCGCAACAGAGAATATCAAAGAAGGCAACGAAGACATAAGAGAGGTAATGTTTCTGGGTTGTGTCACGTCTTTCTCCTAATTAACTCAGTTTCGCCTGAGTGTTGCTTTAAGCAGCATGTGCAAGGTAACCCACAAGGTACAGGTGCAGGGCGCATTGCGGTGCACTGCTTGTTTCGCTAGTCATGATCTGAATAGCTATATCTATCTGCAGAAGTCACCTTAGCTTCACTTATTTTTTTGAACGTGAAAGTCACCTGCCCTGCACTTAAGCACCTGTAAAGTATTGTTTTAAAACACATGGAACCTGCAAACGAAGATTAAAAGATAATGCTGAAACTGTTGGAACTGAAGTTAAATGTTAAGCATTATCAAAGAGCTTCTTCACAATGCTGCATGCATCTCATACGTTCCTAGTAAACAAACCTGTCCAAATTGTCTTATTTATTAGAATGAGATTCTGTTTTCTTTCAGCAACTGAAGTTTCAGTAACAAAAAAGGTCCTAAATTAGGATTCTGAATAAAGGGCTTGATGCTCTTTTTTTTTTTCCCCCCCCCTCTCTCTCTCCCCTAAAAGCACACAGAATATATAATTCAAGGGTGAGTTGTCCACTGCTTGCCCTTCTGAAAGTCAGGTCCTTTTAAGTGCATTAACATACATTAGCAAGTATAACTTACGTATTTAAAATGTAATTTCTATTTGTAAACTTTTCCCACGCGTGTTACAGTAGAGTAGAAAAGAAAGACTTGCAGTATTTTTTTCAGTATCTGTCCAAGGTATGGTATCATGACACATGGTTGGGATTTTATTTTTTTAACTCAGATATTTAGTGTAGAGTTACCATGCTTTTAAAGCATGGTTCTTAAGCACTTTACATGTGATGCTTTGAGGGCATAAAGCTGTCAGCTGGTTGTTCCACTGTTCATAGTGGAACACTGTGGTTGTTCACTGTTCATATATATTCACGTGTCATGAATTTACTTATTTTTGTTTCACTTCCTACATTTGTAGGTAGAACTCCGTTTTCTAAAACACACTGAGAACCAACAGAGAACGGCACTAAATACAAAACCTTTCACTCATATTAATGTTTGCATCACATGAAAAATTCTATTACGTGTATCAATCTGTAGAAAGTGTAAAATAAGTTCCCTACTATTCGCAAATGTCAATTTTGGGGAGGAGAAGAATCCTAGAAAAATATTTGCTATAATTAATGGCAAGTTTTGTCTTTTCCCTTGTGATAGGAAAGGCTGAAGCTGCTAACAGTTTTCTAGGGTTGCCATTGTTGAAATATTTATTGTACCTTTATTGGAAATGGTAATGGAGATCCCCTTTTTCTCACAGGCAATCAAAAACAATGCTGGATTTAGAGTATGGATCCTCTTCTTTCTTGTGATGTGTTCCTTTTCCTTGCTTTTCCTGGACTGGTACGATAACTAATTAAAAACATAATAATATCTACCTACATGCTTTGTTTTTAAAACTTCTGACATTTTCTCTGTGGAGTGGGATAGGCCTACCTGCATACTTTATGCCTTTTTTTCATACTGCTGTGATGGAGTATTTTCCAACAAATAAGTATTTGTATATAGCCATTAATGCAGGGAGAGCTGACAGCATTTATTTTGCGTAAGTTAGTCCTTTATCAAATTGAAAGCCAAACTTAACTTAATCCTGCAAAGAACATAGAACCCTTTCAGTCATCTGGTAAGAAAGCTTATAAGCTGTAGCATAGCTGACAGGAGGAAAAAAAAAAAAAAAAAGTGTCACGTTGTCAAAAAGTTGCTCACAGGTCTGTGATATTTGAAGTCCACCTCCTGGTGTGCAGACCAGACCAAGAGAAAATTCTTACTGTGCAAAACAGTAACAGACCACTGGCCCAGAACTTGCAGTCATATCACGGCACTACATCATCATTTTGCACATGTATGACCTCTACTTCTAATCTTTGAAAACTACTTTAGTCAGAGATCAAGAAGTTTGCTGATTTTAAAGCAAAACAAAACCACCCACTAACACACTTTACTTCTAGGTACAAAGGGATAATACAAAAAAGATTGTGTAAATAAAACAGATGTTCTGAGGTGTTGGAACAAAGCCAAAGAATAGACAATATTAAAGCCAAACTCTTTGAAGTACTAACAGTGGGAGCAATTTGTTAAATGAAAAAACCTCTAAATCAACTCTATATAAAAAAATCAAACTGTGGCCTGTGGAAAGCAGAGGAAAAACTGCTGCTGAGTTCAAGAATGGAAAGCAGTGAGATGTCAGCTAGATAACAGTAAGCATTAAAAATGCTGAACTTTATAATGTTATAATAAGCTGTCTGATTGTTTCTCACCTGTATTAACTTTATGTAATAAAGTAATGCAAGTTGTTTTTATTGCCTTAAACTTAAGGGGTGGAGATAAATATATCACAAATTGCTTCTATTTAAGGTAATCTTTCGCTCTTGTAAGATCTGAATGGCCTCTGTAAATATGTTGATATGAACCATTTGTTTCACTGTCTCTCTCTCTCTTCTGACATGTATGCATCTATATGTTATATGCCACAGCCAGTATCATCCTTATTCTTTGTTCTGTACAGAGTGAAAATGTCAAAAGTTACATGTGACTTAATTACATTCAATAAAGTATTTGCCTACTAGAAAATGCAAACATGGTCTGTTTTGAACATTTTAACATAAGCTTGAAATTTAAATGCAAAGAACAATTTGGCACATAATTTATTGCTTTTTATGTATTTCATTTAATGTAATGACATAATAAAAAGCCTTTTACAGATATTACTGCGTAATGCACACTTCCTATCAAACCTCAAGAATTAAGGAATAATGGTTATTTTTTCTGTATTGGTAAGAAAGGTTGTTAATAACACAACTCTACTGGAGGAAAAAAAAAGTGGAACTGTGACCATGTTTGTTCTACTACCTATCTTGAGACTGATGGGGTTTTTCCTTCATTTTTTGTATAGTCTCTATAAAAAACTATGCAACTTTTGACATGTCCACCAGAAATATCACATTCAAGTAACATGAACAAAAAAGGTGACCTGGTTACCTAAAATGTTTCACACTTGTTTTAACTGAAAAATTAATAAGCTGATTTCTTTTGTAATATATATATTTAAGATTTATAATAAAAATGAAAACATGATGAATAAGAATAGATGAAGAGTTTGCAATTACAATGGAACTTTAAACGTGACTCCACACTACTATGCTCTTCTACATCTTTTCCCCTCCCAAACCATATACATAGACAGTTACACTTCTTCACTCAGTTTTTCACATGTAGCTTTAAACCAGCAAGCTGTGTTATCTGGTATGCTCCTGTTTCACATGTGATGATGCTCTGTGTTTTTAAAAAAAGTAGCAAACTGCAAACCATACATATAACTCAAAGCTATTCATAGTATATAAAAGGGAAAACATTAATGTCGTAAAAGAGCAAATTTAGACGTTACTCCATCTGTCATATCCAACAAATTACGTAGTGGACTACATCTATTGTGAATAGGCTTTCTGCCTCTTAATATGATTAAAACATGTCATTTCTCATTAGAACATCCTTAATTTTTTTTTCTTACACTATCCTCAACATCCATCACTAAAAATGCTTGTGTTTTTCCATAGTGTCGTATCTAGTTCGTGTTTCAGTGCACATCCTTAGCAAGATGCTAAAGCCACAGTGGAAATGCAGTTAAATTCTGTTGACAGCAATAATAAAACATTGAGCATGCGTTGTTGCAGAGAACTTCATTATCACTTACAAATCAACAACAGTAACGAAACGTAAGAAAAATGCTACCTGACCTTTTTTTTTTTTTTTTTCTCCATACCAATCATTTTGCCCTTGATATCACTGTTGATCATCATTCTTGCTTGAGCAAAAAAATCAAATAATATAAATATAGCTCTTAGCTAAACAAGAGATCACTCTAGTTATGGCTGTGGTGTTTCAGTTTGCAAAATGACCAACAATACAAAAAAAATTTAATAAATAAAGTGTCAGTTCAGACAACAGAACACATGATTTATCTAAGTTTCAAGTCCTGAAAATTCCATGACGAAATCTGTCAGCATCCAATAAATTGCAAGACCATATCTAACACTGGATTTCTTTAACATTGAAAATGGTGTCAAAGCTCTAAAGCAATGCTGATATGCACCTTGTTTTATGCCCATGAATGGTCTGCAGCAAGTTTTTGTTTGTTTTTTTGCAAAGCAGTATCAGCAAACAGAAGCAATTGCACCATAAACATGAGCAACCTCTAAATTATCATAATTATAATTAAAAGTTCCTTAAAGTCCCTTAGTTACCTTCAAATGACATATTGTTAATAATTAGCTTATCATAATTACGCTGATTTCTCAGCAGCTTCAGTCTCCTGCTCAGACAGTTTCTCTTCTGACAGTACTGTCATCCATGGAGACACTGATCGCGTGATGGTTTGTTTGGCCAGATTGTAGTGGTTTATGACTGTGTAAAATTTCCCTCGAGCACTGGAGTCTTGTTCAGAGTAGTAGTTTTCCAATCCAGCTGGAATGCACTGATTATTCTGGGGAGTTTAAAAAAAAAAAAAAATCCATCACTCACTCAGAATACAGATAGGGTTCCAAACACAATGGATGGGGAGGGGGGTCGATTTTTTTCCTGTTAGTCTAAGCTAGCATTCCCTTTGTATGAGTCAAGATGCAACGTACAGCAATTACTACAGTGTAGGTCTACTGTGTTCAAAATGTTCTTCTCTGCAGGCCTTAGACTATTCATGCCTTTGCCAGGAAAACCAATCTGGGCCTGTATTCTAGAATAATTAACATACATACAAGAAACACGCATGCCCAAAATTACTTTTAAAAATAAAGTATTCAAGCTCTGCTTGCAGCCATGTTTTGCTGCTTTCTCCTCCTTTTCCCTCTCTACTCACCATAGATAGTTCGTTCCAGCTGTCTGATCTACAGTTACACATGCCTGATTTCTATCATTAGATTAGCTTCAGGCACTTTAATCAGTTGTTTTCAGTCTCTGTGGCAGAAATTAATACAAATATATTGGTGCCAAGGTATGAACAGCTTTATAGCATAGTAAACAAGGCACAAAGTGAAAACATCATGGTGGCCCACCTTACGTGCAAGCGTGTACATAAAAAATACTTGGCTCTTCATTTTCAGAAAGGCATAGCTAACAACAGGCTTTTAAAAATCCATCTTTAAATGTGACTATGTCATTTAATTTCCCAGAGGTTTAAGAGCACTGCATTGGAATTGCTGGATGCTCCAAGCCTTTGAAAATCAAATACCTGATTTAGATGGTCAAGTAGTAAGTAGGATCACAACATTACTGCCCTTTTAAAAATCAAAGTGAACGTGTACACATGCTGCATTAGTCTGTAGGGAGCTTTCAGAAAGCAATCTAGTGATGATGCAGTAAAAGCCTATGAAGCAGCTGGCTGCACTGAAGGAAAAAATTATTTAGATGTATCCTGCCAATCCTCTAGGTTTTGCTCTGCTAGGAGTCAGGTTCTCCATCATATCTGCCAGTCCAGGCAGTCCTGCCACCTACCTCAGCGCGCTGGGGCTGTCATTTAGGCAATGGAATTGACCCTCTAAGATCTAAGCTGCAAGTAACTGCAGCACGTAGATCAGCTCAAGGAAAGAGTAAGTAAGTTTAATCACGTCTAACCCAAACACAACTGTTTTTAAAAGAAATAATAGGCTGTTAGATCTTCCTACTCCCAGCACTAGAAGACTACCCTCTGCAGTTTGTCATATTACAGCACAAAGCAACTGTTAACGGTTCCTGGTCTCAGAGTTTGGCAAACAAAACTTTGCATTGGAAATTTCTGAGCACAAAGTACATTCAAAAATTTTAAATAGTTTTACTGATCAGATACTATTTCAAACATGTCCACATTTAGTTTAGGGTTGAACCTTGCCTTAGTCAAAAAAAAAAAAATGCATAAATTAGCATCAGTAACAACTGTTTCAAACAGTTTAAATCATAAAATGCAGAACAAAATGGTTGGGGGGTGGGGGGGAAGATCCAGCAGATGATCTTGTCCAAAAGTAAATTCTGCATCCTAAAAGTTTTAGGGTGAAGAAAGCATCAAGTGGTATGAAAGAAAAAGGCAAGAAATGCCAAAACAATAGGCCTATATGTAGTTTTATGAACCTGCCCCATGAATACAATTTTATGGCAGATTTGTCTGTTAAAGGAAGAATCTCTGTCATAGGACTAACAGTCCTCCCACTGACTTAACAGCTCATCACTTCTAACCTGCTTGTGTGATAGAAGCTTACAGGTGTACTGGACTCATGACAGTGTTCGAAGTTCAAAGTTACCACATCCAACAAGGTTCAAATTATTTGTGTTATCACTGGCCCTTGCTACTATAATTTAGTAGCCAGGGCAAATCTTGCCTCAAAGTTTTGTATGAACTAAAACTAAAAGACAGGGTATCGCCCCACCTAAGCAGGCTTATGCCTATTCAGCGCACTATGTTACGGAGGTCCCTTCACTGACTTGTCAGCCACACATACGCAAGACCTAGATTAAAAAAACCCCAGATGGACAATTCTGGATTAGAGCTATTTGGTTATGTCTGTTCACATGCATCAACCATGTCACCATGCTGGGTTAACTGACACTATCTCAGACATGATACAGTAACGAAGAAGTATTTAAACACAGACATCTTTGCAGTGATTATTTCACCCAGTTAGGGGATGCAGTCACAACTCTGAATGTTTAAAATGGAGGAAGGAACACAAGCCACTGATCTAATTAAATCCACCAGGGAAATTTAAGCACATGGAATATAATTATTAGTACTGAAGACAAGCCAAGATTACCACCAGTCCAAAAAAAACCCACAGAATCCTTAATTGATCATAGAAGCGCTTTGCTTTGTCACAGGCAAGATGACCCAGCAATGTTATTTTGTTACAGCCACAGAAGGGCCTAAGGAACGTACAGTCAAGATGGCATCTCTGATGTATTTCTGCTCCCAGGATTTTCTGTTTCTAGAAAAGATGGGCAAAACTGCCCTTTCATTAGTAGTTCTTTGTATACTGCCCAAGGACAGCCCCCTTCGTTGAGCTGCAGGTTAAGGCAAGCAAAGCGGCACTCTGCAGTTACAGAGCTATGGGAACTGATGCTGAGCCTCACCCTGCAGCTTGCCCAGGACTGTCAGCTTATGCAGAACATTTCTCTCTATCCTTTTTATTTATTTTCGTGGTTCCCAGAACCAATAGAGAAGTAATAAGGAAAGGCAGGAGGAGAAAACGGATGCTAGAGTTGGCAGTCGTGTTTCTTCCAAAGCCGTTCTATTTCAGAAATTAGTTACGAGTTAAGGCCTTTAATGCCTGATAAAATCCCAGTTGCTGGTCCATGCTTGGCTGCGTTAACATGGCTCCTTCAGTTCCCTTGGCATGAAGACCCCAGTGGTATCAACGTTTCACTTTAAAATAGTATCTTCTGTTCTATTAACTTTGCTGGGTCAATAATTCCAAACTTAATAGATTGCTTTGCTGGTTATGAGTTTGCAAGAGGCAGATGCCTTGGCCATGCAAGGTAGGGCCTCACAGATATAGTATGGAGCATACTGAAAGCCCTGGAGAAATTTCTCAGGTATATGAGCAGACTCAGGTCTTTGGGGATAAACTCCAGCGAGTCTCTGGAACAGCCAGTAAAGAATGCTTCAGAGGAGGGATACGCAACAGCAAATCAAGAGCTAGAATTCATTTATCACAACAGCAGCATGTCTGTCTGTGTCAAAAAGCTTCAGCAAGCACAAATTAGTGTGGACTGCAATTTAAAGCTCCAGCAGTTTTAAGATTTCTATACAAAGGAAAATGAGCACCTTTTAAAGCCCTGGAAGCACAGGACAGCAAAAAGGTTGAAAACAGTGAAACCTCTGGTGCAATAGTTTACGGTAGCTCAGGCTTTATGCAGAGATTTTCATGGCACCATACTTCCTGAGGCAGGACACCTTTGCCCTTAACAGGCAGATCACATCAGCGTCCAAAGCCTGGGGACATGCAGGCCAGAGTACGTTGCTGAGGTCACCTGAAGCACACAGCCTGTCCACAGAGGCGTCGGTCACAAGGTCATCACAATCGGCATGAACTTCTTAAGCTCTCTTGGGGCATCTGTGCCATGACATATTAAGAACTGCCAAAAACCGGGTATGCGCACCGAACACAAATTCATGTCAGCATTGCTAGTTTCAGGCCTTGTGGCTTGCTAACATGCTTATCCTGTACAACTCAGATTTAAATGACTAAAGACACTGACTCATAGCATTATGCCATCGGTCACCAAGGAAACTGCCTCCACAAAACCCATCACTGGAAGAGTAACGCTCAGTAACACACTACTGTGTATGTGCTGCTCCTTAAAAACAAGGCATAAGCTATGGGACATCTTGCCTGACTTCTGTTTGAAGCACAGGATCCTAAGAGAAACCCAGTTAAATTCTGTCAGCAGTACACCTGAAATACAACTAAGAAACTGCCATGCCCTTAAACATTTGTGATGCCAAAAGGAAAAAGCAAGAGAAAACAGGAGGCTGCAATTCAACGGAAGGGGACATGATAGGAGAAGACACAGAAGCAGCAGACTGTTACTAGAATTACGACAGGAACACTTAACTGGCCATTCTCATCAAGTCAGGATCACATCAACATATGCACTGTAGGAACATACAGCCCATGTTCCAAAGTGATTGCAGCCAAGAGAAAGCTTAGGAAGAAAGGCTATGATCCCATGAGACGTGAGCACAGAGAGGTTTCACAGCTTGTCTGAGATGACAAAAAAATAACAGCAGAACCAAAAGCTGAATCTCCTGAGTTCCAACCAAATGTTTTAACCATTTTTTTGTCTCTTGAATCGCAGTATCCTAAAAATGCTTGGAGCTAAATTAATCTAGTACAGCATCACCGATTATAACTTTGACAGGATTCTTTTGAAGTATTCATGTGCCGAGAGTGACAGGCACAAAAGGTTCCGCACAGGTTTTTCAGCAGTACTGAGGCACCCGTTCCTACAGAAATCATTCTGAAAAATCATACTAGGTATGCATTGATTCATTACGTGACTATATATTCTTAAAAGAATAACTAGAGGGAAGAATGCCTTCATCAACACTACTTTTCTTATCTAATTACAGCCATATTCAACCTTGCTGAATTTACAGCTGAGAGAACTTTCAGCCAGGTCATAGCTGAAGAGCCAGCACTACCATCTTGTAAGAACGATGTGAGCCCCAGTATCTCTTTCAGTCAGCAGAAGTGTTTTTTTCCAAATAAATATATGTTTTCTCTTTTTTGGCATCATTTTTGTCCTGTGGCAGTAGGGCCTGGAGATCACTCTTCTAGAGCATGAAGTTCTTTCTACAGCCCTTATTTAACTCTGCTATTCTTAGTGGAATGAGTACTTTCCTGTTTCTGTGATACATATTTCAGAGCCATTTGCTTTTCTCTAGGTTTCAGATTTAGCATTCTGTTCTTTCTTACAACGTATGAATTTGGAGGAACATGCAACGTCCAAATGTATGGCCTGATAAATACGGGCTTTGCTCAAACAGCTGCAGGTGAAGTTGGTTTGAAGGACACTGGCGTTAGGACTGTTGCTATACTTTCGTTGTTTACTGCATTAACAAAAATAAAGGTAAACATTATGAAAATAGCGTGAGAGTCACAAGCTCCTTTACAAATTAAGCAGAAAAACACAGCAGGAAGCACATTAACCTATGAAACAACCACATATTTGTATGCAATGCAGCGTGACTTAATCAAGGTTATGCAGAAAAGAGCACACACAATATTACATACTCTTGTTTTTCTAGAATGTGCATGCAATTTACCTTGAAAACAAATCCTTCTGGACAGGTATGATCATACTTGTAAACCTTGTAGACTACCAGAAATACAACACACGTTAAGAATGCAAGGGCAAAAAGGACCAGCACAGTTATCTGTAAAGACAAAACACACTCATGTTAGGAACGCACTACTTAATGAACTGCTGTTTGTTACTGCAGGTGGCAGAGGTCACTTATGAATGCGCCTACCAGTAAAATCAAGCAAAGAATAAAAATGGCTACTTAATTATTCAAGGAGATGAGAAAAGTGGCACATTAGTGCTTCTGCACCGCAAGGCTTTTTTGGTTGCAGTTCTGTTCAGTGCACACATGAGGCCACAAGGACACATCGAGGTGGTTTGGGTCTGCTGCTTTTTCAGTACTTGGATGATGTAAACGCGAGTCTAGTTTATGTCAGCTGCCACTGGATAAGCACGTTTGTTTACCCTGTGCCTGGCCAAGAATGGAGTCAGATGATGATAAATTAACACAGGTGTCTTCCAAATAATAAAGGTGACTAGCAGGGCAAGGAGAAAGTAATGTCTGTCCCCGCTTGTTAGGAGAAGTGCTTGTTACACCCGTTACATATGGATAGTAACACCAGTGGTCTGTATGCTTGGATGCCCAGTGCTCCTGAATTTATAGGCTGAACCAGGACTTCACCACCACGCAGAGACTGCACAGGAATAGTTTGCTGCCAGATCCATAAGGGAACGCATCAAAGCACTCAACAGAAGCTGTTGAAAGTCCAGGTACAACTTCTCCCTACAGCGCTCACAGAGAAGCTTACAGACTGCACTGCCCGGCACTGACTTTCCCCACGTCCTTCAGTGAGTACCTCTCTGGTCCTGAATTCACGTTCAAGCAGAGTCTCATTAAGTTCAAACTGAAATTAGCTTCAGTATCAGGCCAACCTTCCCAGGATTAAACTCTGAGCAACTGGAGACTGGGCAGCCTTTTAAGCAATACAGGAGGCAAAATTACCTCTAGTATTACCTCTCCCATTGCCCGGAAAAAGCACAAACTTTTGGCCTAGCAGTCACACTGCAAAGCTCCCTAATCAGACCTCTTTTTTTGAGGAAGGTGTGAGCTGAGCAAATAGCATTCATTAACTGGGAGAATATCCCAGATGTGCACTTTCATTTTTCAAAAACTTCTCCTGAAACACGAATGAGTAGCTCCCAAAGACTGCAAGACCACCACAGAGTAAGAGTGGCTGAGCTTTTTGGAGGAAGTTAGAAAGAAGCTAGCATCTGATCCAGCATAAAAAAACAGTAATAAACAGAAACAAACATAATTGTATGATTAACAAATTAAAACAAAGTACAATATGATCTATATTTTAAAAGGAATATGGGTGAGCCAGGTACATACACCTCCTGAAAGAGAACTTGAGACATTTCAGGGTCAATGACGCCAACAAAAATAATCTAGTTAGGAAGCAAGAAAAAAAAACTGGAGCTTTGCCTCTTAGGGGAGAAAAACCTCACACTACTGTTATGATAAACCTCAGAACTAACAGGATTTGTAACACTGCAAACTCTGCATGAGGCTGTGCGACTAGTACTGATACTGAAAGACTGAGATGAACTTTCACAGACTTCTCATGCTGGGAAGCCAACCAACTTCACCATGGGCAGATAGCAGTACATGCTAAGCTTCCCAGTGAAAACTAGGTTGGGGAGCACAGTCTGCTGCAGAAGCCAAGGATTTTACAAGGATTTTTGATCAACAGAAAATAAGCAAAAAAGGGAGGGGCAGAAGAGAGGGCAAGGAGGACCACAGATAGAAAGTAACTTAGCAGAAGAAATGTAAACGGTAATGTAACTGTGCCAATCTAAATGAGACATGGAGCAAAGGACCTTTCTAGTTAAAAGCAATATCTTCAGTTTCCCAGAATAGTCATCAGATTTAAAAAAAAAAAAAATCACATTTTTAATCACACTCTGAAAACCTCATACTGACATCAATTTTCAAATCCAATTAGTCTTTCCCCAAATTTATTACTCATTTCCATAGGCAAAGGTTAACGTGGATAGCTCACTCTGCATTGCCAACTTTGTATCTTCAGCTCACCTGATGTCTTAGTATGTCATGCATGAATCCAGGAGAGCAGACGGGTTTTCCTTCCTGGTCATTCCCCACTCCTGCCCCAGCCACCCCCGAGCGAAGCCCTTCTCATGACTTTTGAGCAGGTCTATCCTTTTTTTCTTCTGCTGTTGTTTGCACTCCCTTCCCATCTGTCCTCAGCCATCCCACCCACCCACACATTCAGGGGCCCTCACTCCCTGGCTTGGCCCAAACTTTGCCCATCTTCATGTGTCTTCCCCTCCCCATAAGGGTAACAAACTTCATTCTCTGTTCTCCCCCAAGAATCCTCCTTGTACTGCAGGCTCTAACAAAACTGACCTTTCTCCCCTAACACTGAAGTTCCCACCCTGGACTCCTCGTTCCATCTCTCTTAATGCCTTGCTGGTATCTGTAAGTCCCACACAACGCCAGAATCTCCAACTAAGCCAAGGGACCCGAAACGCGCCTGCCTTTGGTGGTGCTGCAGTGCCTGTGAGGCCACGGGCCCAAGGCCTTCTACCCTTGTTGAGCTGGGCAACGTGGGGTGATGAGGGACCGGGGGG